CTGAACCGCCACTGCAGTTAACTCTACATCTACAGTATATTTTTGGACACAATTCAAAGGGCTTCAAAGCTTAGAGCCATGCACTTGAAAAAGTCCAATGGCACCCCTAAGAAAAACAAAGTTTAATTCTGGGTATAAGCTTTCATGTGCATGCACAGTTCTTCAGATACTTTGAAACAAGACTTCCTCAACTATTATGTATAGGTAGGGGGGTTAGTGATCTGGCATGATCTGGTCCATGGGGTCGCGAAGAGTTGGACTCGACTGTGCGACTGAACAACAAAAGGGGGGTTAGTTGCCAGGAAGGGCTAACCACAGTCAAGATGCATAAGTGACTGAGCGATAAGTATAGCTAAAACTGGATTAAAGCAGTTGGTAAGACCTGTGGATAGCAGCAAATTAGCATACAGATAATAAAAGAGTTAACAGATGTGAGAACTAAATTTGAGTCTAGTGGCACCTTTTAAGACCAACAAAGTTTAATTATGGGTATAAGCAAAAGTGAGTGACTTAGCACGTGTAGTGAGATAAGAACCCAATTTCTCGGCTAAGCCCCGGAGGTTCCACTGTCCTGAGTGCTGTAATAACTTGTATTTCAGCAGTCTCCTATTCCAGTCTGTTTCTGAAATTCCTTTGCAATTAAACAGGTACTTTGAGGTTCCCCACTGAGTGCCCTAGGAGACTGAAATGTTCTCCTATAGGTTTCTCAGTTTTGTGATTCTTGATGTCAGGTTTGTGTCTTTATCCCTTGGTACAGGGTCTGCGCATGAAAGCTTATACCCAGAATTAAACTTTGTTGGTCTTGAAGGTGCCACTGGACTCCAACTTTGTTCCTTTGCTTCAGACCAACATGGCTACCCACCTGAATCTATCTCTGCCCTTACAGCACTGTTTTGAAAATCAGCTGGAACCTGTAACATGAATGGAAAGTCCAAAACTGAAAAACTGACTTAACGTTTGTGATTCTAATCCTAGTTTTTCCACTACCCTCTCAAACCCTGTCTCAAAACCTAAATCATGAGCAAAACCAGTAATGGCCTTTGACAAGAATGACAGTATGAGAAAAGTAATCTTAAATGCTTCTGTGCGTGCACAGTTTTGTATGCATTTCTGAGAAATCTAATCATCATTAATTATCACAAGAATCTTATGGGTAAGGCCATTGTATATTGGGTGGTTGATGTGCAGCATGAGTGCTGATGCACACATCACTTGTTGCTACCCATGCCATAGTATAACTCAGTCCAGTCTGTTTAGTTAGGAATTGAGGGGAAATTCTCACTCAGTTACAGGCTGCCAGCAAGACTACTATTCAAGAATACTTTCCAAATCATTTATTAATGCTGTAATATGCACCGAAAACACAACTGTGAAGGAGGATTGGGTGTATCTCTGCATGTAAATTGCAGGCCTTTCCCATCTTTTATTGAGATAATGGTAACAGTCACAGCCACTGTTCACTGATTTTAATTGGTTGGAATCGCACCAGATTTTCTGCAGATGCAAGAAGGAAAGGCCCCTTGTGACCAACCAGAAGACTGTGCTGAGGATCCTGCAGGCCATGTAAACAAAAAGCCATGCAGGACGGGGGTCTGCAGTGAGGAGGGGGTCCAGGCAGAGTTGCCCCTCCTGCCTTTTGCACCAGCTGGAAATCTGATAGGAACAAATATGATACTCACGTCAACATTAGCAAATTCTCAAAACCAAGCTAATTACGAAGCTGCTGTGTTTTACAGCCATTTTTTTTTTGTCTTCCTTTGCCCTCCCTCTCCTCATTTCTTCATTTGTCCATAATGCAGCTGAATATGTTTGGGTATGGTGAGGCTCATGATTTTTGTTGATGACGGCAGGGATGCCTGTATACAACATGACATTGGTTGCCACAGCCAATCTGATTAAATGGGCGTGACAGCAAATAAGGCAGAAGACAGAGTCGAGGCAAATAAAATGGCACTGAGAAGCAGAAGCCCATGGAACAAAAAACAGTGCCCGCAAATATGTACACAACTGTCAAAAGCAGCTGGGCTGGAAGGTGCCCTTTGACCCACACAAAATTCAGCTCTGGTTTAAGACCACTCCCCTGCCTAATTTCCTCAGAGTATTCCAGTATCCCCCTCCCAACTTTGAGAGGAAATGGTATCTTGGAGAAACTAATCACTCCTTTTTTTGCCACTTACAATATTTCTTCTTTAAAAGGCGAATTTGCTTATCAAGATTTGCCATACTCTTCTGCTTTTGAAATAAAATGGCACATTGGAACTTTATTTCTGCTATGACTGTCGATGGCTGGTAGGAATTTAAATTTTAAAAAGCAGAATTCCTAGGTTTGTTTCTCCTTCTTCTTTGAAAGGTTAACTGTCTGAAATGTGGCTCTTTGTTGTCCCCTATGTTTTAACTCCTTGTCTTCTTCTTGCCTGTCTTGTGTTTCGTTCTTTCTTTCTGGCACCTATGATGTTTCAAAAATGAAGAAACCCTTCCCTGATAATCCCTGCCCTCATCCTCCTATTGCTACTCTTTTACAAGTCCCTGTCATCTCGTCTTCACAAGTATCACGGAGCTCAGATAAGGTAAGCCTTTGCAATGCATATGTCTGCATAAACATTTGAGAAAGATATATTCTGAACCGCATAGGCAACAGCTCTCTCTCTCTGCAATAGATGGAAGGAGTTGTCTGTGTTTTATTATCACTTTCAAGGTCACACAGCATACGGTAACAGATAATTGTAAGTGCAGGTTTTACACCTAACTCAATTACTTGCTTGAATTTGGAACACACAGCCTCTGCAGTCCCATACAAATGCAAGGGAAACTTGCCTCAGAGAACAACAAATTGGCTTTCAGTTGCCATAAGCCTGCACTGGGAACACCTTTCCGTTTCTCTAACTCTGTATAATGGGGCAATGCTCAGTCACCGCCAATCAACATCACTTTACCTGAAGATACTGGAGCTTCACGGGCATCCTTAGAGGTGGTGCTCTGGTCCACTCAGTTGCAGACATTTCATTGCAACCTAGCCATACAACAGAACATTTGTCATGGCGTCCAGGTTATTTAGAAATGCCATTAACACCTCTCTTCCCTTTTCACTCTCAGTTTGAGACGGTTGCTGATACGTCTGAGGCATCAAGCAGTGTTACACTCAAACGCTACACAATGCACTTTGAGGTAGCTACAGCGGTGTGGCTAAATCGACAATTGCATGTTGCTGGAGTGTGTTTGCATGACAACCTTCTGTGTGATGCACACTTTATTACAGTTACAACCAATGTTCCCTCTAAGCTTTGGAGTCTTGTGAGCAAAAATTCTACTTTGTGAGCTCCTGGCATTAAAGTTGTGAGTGAGCGATCTGGCTACTGCATAAATTAGTTTGCTCTGGAGCCATCCTTTCCTGAGCGGAGACAAAAATGTGTGAGCCGGAAGCTAAAAAACTGTGAGCTAGCTCACACTAACTCGGCTTAGAGGGAACAGTGGTTACAACCACTACTGTCTGAAAGGTTGTGCTTCTAAGTGAGTGCACACCTTTCCATATTTTGTTGCTTAGGTAGCTAGGTAGGCAAAACTGCCTTTAATAGGGATATTATTGTATGTTATACAAGAGTAAACAAGGCTAACTAGGTATCATTGGAAAAACTGTAAAATTTGGGCGTGGTGCCCCATGGATGGTGCCCCATGCGTGGTGCATGGATGGAGTCTTGGGAACTTGGATCCAACTAAATCATAAATGAGGCCCTCATAGGTCACGTAGGTGGCCAGGGAACAGTTACAAATGCTTACATAACCAAAATCACAATCAGGGTTGTACCAATCACGGCAACATGATTGAAGGCCAGCGCCCATCTTCTTTTTGTACTCCATCTTTTGCCCCTGAAAACCAATGTGGTCTGGGCACTTGTCTTGAAGCCAATACCATCTAAGACAGAAATAGCAACCACACAAAGTTCTGCATACATACTCGTGTGTATACGACGCCGAATATGTGTGTTTGTGTGTGTCAGAGCATTTGTCCATCCATTCCAGTAAGATCTGCTTCAGCTGGTAGCACTTCTCCAGGATCTAAGGAAGAAGTTTCTTCTACCTTGTTACCTAGTAACCTTTTACCTGGAGATGCCAGAGATTGAACATGGAAGTTTCTGTACCACTGAGCTATGGTTTTTCCCACTGTCTGGGGGCCGTGGGACAATGTGGAACTGGAAACTTGCAGCCAAAGAGCTGGCAAATTTGTTCAAATACACATTTAAAATTTAGATGGGTAGCTGTGTCTGTCTGTAGCAATAGAAAAGAGCAAGAGTCCAGTAGTGCCTTAAAGACTAATGAAATATGCGTCAGGGTATGAGCTTTTGTGAGTCACTGCTCACTTCTTCAGATACTTAGTCTTTAAGGTGCTACTGGACTCTTGCTCTTTTCTACATTTACAATTTAGTTGTCTTCCAATTGTTTCTGGCTTTACCTCCCTCTCTGACCCAGAATGGAACTCATTTATTCTATCCTGCAGAACACAATGGGGACCACCTACATACATAGTACTGCAGCTTGATCACCCAGTTTTACTGTGGAGGTAATGTGTGTGTATTTTCCACAGAGCAGTACAGCACACTATTCTAGAAGTGCTGTGTGATCCAATCAGGAAGCAGAGGTGAGGCACACAGCACACACGTATTCACTTGCACCAATAATGTGTTGGCAGAAAAACAACTGCAGTTCCAGCAGTGAATCAATGACCCTGTTAACCTTGAAGGTGTTGCACAGAAAAAGAACACTGTTGGAATGGAATGGCAGCTATGCTGGGGACATACATGTACTGCATGCTTAACAAGAGATCACCTTGTGAAGGCTATGGTTCCCACAGGGAATAGCTGGAAAGAGGGCTAATGATCCCTCCCATGTGTGTTTAATGGTATTGTTATTGGCCTTAAACTCTGCTATTAAGATGGGCTACTGCAGTGTTGTGAAATTAACTCTCATCTGGTTAAAAGCCAAGGATGTTTTGCATTGAGGGAATAGTTTCTTAGCTGTATCTGCAATTTAATGACCCTCTTTCCTAAGAGAACATCTGTGTTGTTTCTGTATTCTTAGGGATTGGCAGATACCAAAATTCCCGGACCAGCATCTCCTATGAGCACTTGTAGCAATCAAAGTGCTTCAGTTTCCCGTGTACCAAGCCAAAGCCAGATACATCACACTTACTCCCAGGGCTCCTTGCATCGAAGTGTCAGTCAACTTATTGATGTCTATGACAAGAAGTCTTTAATAGAAGATTCTGTTTGGGATACCATCATCCATGGGCATGACAGTAGTATGGTAAGTAAATTCAATTTCAGGTCCAATTCCACATCACTTTCCCCTCCAACTCTACCTGGCCTGCTTCCTCCTTTTCCTGCAGTTCACACCATGCCTGAATATGACTGCCTTACAGAAACACACTTAAACCATAGAACAAATTTAGAGTCCAGTGGCACCTTTAAGACCAACAAAGTTTTATTCAAAGTATGAGCTTTCGTGTGCACACACACTTTTTCAAATCCATTGGAAGGAAGGTAAGGTTCAAACTTATAGACAGGGGCTGAACAACAAATTAACATGTAACATGATGAAGATGTTTTACATGAAAGCTCATACTTTGAATAAAACTTCATTGGTCTTAAAGGTGCCACTGGATTCTACATTTGTTCTACTGCTTCAGACCAACACGGCTGACCACCTGAATCACACTGAAACAATGGTGGTGTTTTTTAAAAAAATCTGGCACATCTAGCTTTTGAACAGCTTACTATTCAGGAAATTCATTTAAAAATAACTTATCTGGTCCTTGAGAACTGCAGCTGATGTTATATTTATCAATTGTGGATGGATCATTTAATGTCATTTATGGGGAGGCAGAGGAAGGTAGGTAACTTCATCTTGTTTAACCTTCAAATAACTTTCCTTTTTATTTTTAGTACGTGGATGATGAAGATCTTGTGAGTGCTATTAAAGGCTTCAGTACTGTCACAAAAGAACATACTACATTTACTGACACACACCTGTGAATTGCATCTCCATAACCACAGGCAAAAGAATATGGATACCCTTAGTCCCTCCTTCCAGCTAAATACATTTGCCTTGATAAGCCATTGTGATGCAACATGTGCCTACTGCAGCTTCAGCAGCGTTAATGAATGATCTGTCAGAGGATCAGCAACATGAAGAGTTTTCTTCCATTTTCTTGTTCCTTATTGTAAATATTGCGCAGTAGCATTTGTAATGGGATAAGATTTCATTTTATTGCAGATCTTTTGTGGAATTTATATAGCAGATTATAACCATTTAAAAACTGTGTATTAAATAATGCACGCCTTCAAGGAACTGTTACCCTTGCTAAATTCTTTTTACAATAGTATACTGGGACATGTTGACTGTACAATATTAAGTCAGGCAGTTATTGTACTCGATCAACATTTTGGCTCTATTTAAAAGCCTTAACAGGGACCAACAGGTATTTAAGACATGAAGGGATCCAGATTAAACATATTAAATACTGGTGTAGAATGCCAGAGTAGAGGAATGGTCAAGAAAGACCTGAGTTTAAATCCTCAGTCATGAAACTTATGGGGTGACCTTAGGTCAGCCACCAACTTAACCTACTAGAATCTTCACAAGAGTGTTATTTGGCAAAGTAGTGTGGAGAGACAACATAGTTCCCTTTGAGCTCCTTGAAGAAAGCAAAAAATAAAGCACTCAAGGACATAAGCTGGAAAGGGAACAGTTGTGTATGTATGGTAGAATCATGTTTGTTCATAATCAAATAATTACTGGTCACCCTATGATTTGACTAGCAAGAATGTTGTGCTGACTTCCTACAGCTCCATTAAATGTTAGGCCATTTTAAATCCATTGTTATCCCAGCAAGACCTTATTTACAGTAGGTATGCTAAATGGACTCACATGTTCTGAAATTTAGGGAATTTGCCAGATTTTTTTTAAAAAAAACTCCTTAAGGTAGGATCCTGCGCCTTGTTCAGCTTCCACAAGCAGCACTTATATTGACTCAAGATTTTGGATTGCCTCTTCTGCTGCCACCCCACCGCTACACTGTCTCCAAGGGTTTACTGAGGGTCAGGAATAGGATTTTGTGGGGTACAGGAGTTAAGAAAACTGTTTGGTGACTCGTAGAACGATGCTCAAAGTGCTTAGGATCCAACCCTGAGTCTCACCAGCTGTATTCTTAAGGAGTTAATATTTTGAGCATAGTGTATCACTATGAACCAGCTGTGAAAAGCAGCATTGGCTTGGTCTTATTTGAGTATCTGTAGCAGGTAGGCATAGTACTTTTCTGCTAGACATAATATAAAATAATACATGGGTTAGAATTATATTGTTCCTGTTCTACTGATTCTTTATTAACACAGCATCACAGAGTAAGTTGCAAGATACCACCTTACCAGTGATGGGGAACAAAACTACAACCGCTTGTACGCAAAAGCAGCCATCAGGGTTTTTTTTTTAACCCGTGGCACAGCTATGCCCCATATACAGTAATCCTGCAAGAGAGGGGTGAAGGATTTTATGATATCCATTTCAAGCCAAGCACTCAGTAATTGTACTGTATTTTAGCTCTAGCAGCAAAGTATAATGTGCCGCTGAAGATAAAGCCACTGTACAAGCTTGGGCTGTTAATAGGCACAGGGGAAGTGCATTGATTTCCATTTAAACTGTGCTTGAACTCATAATGGCAAGAGCCAGTTTGGTGTAGTGGTTAAGTGTGTGGACTCTAATCTGGGAGAACCGGGTTTGATTCCCCACTCTTCCATTTGCACCTGCTGGATGACCTTGGGCAAGCCAAAGTTCTGGCACAGCTGTTCTTGAAAAAGAGCAGCTTCTGTCAGAGCTCTCTCAGCCCCACCTACCTCACAGGGTGTCTGTTGTGGGGAGGGGAAGGAGTTTGCAAGCCGCTCTGAGACACCTTTGGGTAGTGAAGGGTGGGGTATAAATCCAATCTCCTCCTCTTCTTCTAATCACACTGGCCTAGGAACAGAACAAAGTTTGAGTCCAGTGGCACCTTTAAGACCAACCAAGTTTTACTCAAGGTATGAGCTTTCGTGTGCAAGCACAATTCAAATATAGTGAAATGGAATTTCCTCAACCATTACATATAGGTAGAGGAGGGGTGTTAGTTGCTTGAAGGGCTAGTTAGAGTCAAGATATGTAAATAACTGGGTGATTATAACTGAGATAGGATAAAGGCCATTCACTTATGCATCTTGACTCTAACTAGCCCTTCAAGCAACTAACACCCCTCCTCTACCTATATGTAATGGTTGAGGAAATTCCATTTCACTATATTTGAATTGTGCTTGCACACGAAAGCTCATACCTTGAGTAAAACTTGGTTGGTCTTAAAGGTGCCACTGGACTCAAACTTTGTTCTTTTGCTTCAGACCAACATGGGTACCCACCTGAATTTGGCTTAGGAACAGTAAGGTTTATATAAGTACTTTGACTAGATGGGTTATGGACTGTAATTTTATGTATTTAGGACTAGAATTCTGCCTTTCTAGTATGCTTGATGTATTGGTGAACAGAAAGTTGTGGAGCAACTTAAAGCATTATACGTCAGAATGTTAACTGGAGAGTGATAATGTTAAAGTACCATGTTCCTTATCTATCATACTTCAAGACTTATTTTCCATGATAACACACAAATCTAGTGTCCATTTGTAGGTTATTATCCTAATTAATAAAATTATTTAACTTTGTTCCATGGAGTATTTGTATTTTTTATATAGGCCATAAATATTCCCAGGCTGTTGAGCAAGGATGGCTTGGGTTAGGCAAATACTGGTCTGAGTGTCTGAAAATCAAATTCTGCGTCTTAGTAGAACAGAAGCCGAGAGGGTGGAACTGGAACCTAATTTTACAGTAATACCACCTATAAAAATGTTTCTGAAAGCTAACTACTGAGAAGTCTAAAAGAGGCATTAACAGCATTGGTTGTAATGGGAATGCATTCCCTGCCTCACCATTTCTTACATATGAATGATGCATGAAGGTTTTATATATCCAAAATCACAGTCTGTCTTTGCTCACTTGAGAGGCACATGAAGGCAAGTTTGGTGCCTTTATGAGCCTCCTGCCCAGCACAGCAGTGGCTGGGTAGATCTGCTCCCCACTCACCACAGAGATGACTTGGGTGCATTTCCCACACTACCTCAGTTCATTGGGGTCTTTCTGTGCCTCACCACTTATAAAAGGAGAGAAATAGCTTCTCTCTGCTTACCTCACCACCACCTGGTGAGTTTTAGGCTTTTCCATGATTCTCCACTCCAGTAGCAGTGGCTTTTCACCTTGCCACTGCTGGGCAAGTTTGGGGCCATTATCCATCCAAGTGATCACTCTTGCTGGAGAAACGCTGGTTTTGAATTACTAGGTTGTCACCTCCACCCTGCCCAAGGTGGTCCATGACATGATACAGACACGTGGTCAGACTTCAAATCAAAGGAATAATTCTGCACAACTCCTTTCCCGAAGTGAAAGTTTAGATCTCAATCTTCTGATCTAGTTGGTATTGAAAATGCAAGACACTCATGAACCTGAGATCATCTTAGAGGTAGATGCAAACTCTGAGAGGGTGTAGGACTGATAGTGGCTTAAGTGAAACTAGAACACACCGGTAGTAAATTCTTTGTACTTTAATATCAAGACAAATATATGCAAAATAATGTTTTTACAGCATCAGTAACCAGACATTTAGAACTGCAGTATAATTAAGTTAACAACATTGCACCATATGAAGATAAATGTAGGCAGGGTTCATGAATATGAGTAAAAAATAGGGTCATTCAACAGAAGAGACAAACATTAGATACAGCAGTTGTGCCTGCTTCATTCCATTATTATTCTCAATAAGGAATTGTATGGAAATTCTGAGATGAGGTGACTGAAGCTCAATAGATAGGCCACAGACATTTAACGTGTAGCATGTTAGAACACAGGTTCCAGGGATGGGAAACAAAATTACATACAATAGAAAATACATACAACATAAATGGTAGTGCATGCCAGCCTGCATTAAACGAGGCTTGAAATCAAGGGTATGTACCAGAACTGGACTTCCTATTAGTATCATACAAAGTGAATACCAATTTAGAATGTTTTAAAAATGCTTCTGTTGGTTGTGCTTGAAGCCAAGTTCTTTCTGTAGAGTGATGATGTGTTCCCATGTACTGATATATTCCACTTCAAATACCATCAGTGAGACCACCACAAACTGACCGCCCACAAATGTGTAAATGTAAACATTCCATCCAGTTTAGTGTTAAACCTTTTGATATATCTCTTAGGTATAAATATGCATCAGCACTTTTACAAGGCATAATCCTGACAAGAGGAGTCACTTTTCTTATGACGTGGAGAAGTCGTTGTCTTGGTAGGAGACGGAGACGCTGCAATGGGTGCCTCAGCCCCACCTTCCCCAAGACTTGGTGAAGAAACGAGATGAGGTGCTTTCTTCCTCCCCAAGAACCCTCCTCCGTCAAATCCACTTTTCTTTTTGTTATCTGCTTTGGCTTCATTTTCTTCATCAGTTCCTCTTTTCTTCAACTCTGACATGTTTTCCGGCACTTTCTGAAATTCAGTTCCACCGTCTGATGCTCGGGCAGCCCTGACCTCAAGTGCTGATGCTGAAGTTTTTTTGTCAGCTGTGCTTTCCCCTATCTTCTTCACTTCTGATTGTACGGGACTCTGGTTGCCATTTTGAGGTACAGCCTTGTCAACCATATTTCTGTTCAGATTAAAAGTCTGAATCTCTCTGTAACTGTGAAAACTCTCTGTCCGCCGTGCTCTGGCTAATAAAGGGCTCTCCCTATATGGCCGTATGGAGCCATATGTAGCAGTTTCGTGAATCGTTTCACGGTGCTGCAACTGGAGGCTGAAAACATTTTACACACAGAAATATATTAATGAAATTCATAGTCCTACTGGACATCTCCAAGTAGAAACTTATGCCATCCTCTGCTTCTGAGATTCAAGTCTAGAGACTAGCAACTGATTG